CTAATGAAAAACGTCCGGGTGCAAAAGATTAAACAACATATCACATACTCCTGCATTCTGTCACTCATACTTTTACTGGCCAAAACGATCGCATCTATAAATCAAGGAAGCTCTACGAGCTACTGAATCGTCAAAAGGAACAGGAATACGAACTGATCTTGCGTCACTGTTACTCTAAGAGCCGACTTGTGTTATGAATACACTGAACTCGTTTATCTGGAAACGTAGAGTCGTTTAGGTTCTAGAATCTGTTATGAGATTTCCAACAAATTGCTCAAAAACTCGTAACAGAGTGAATTGAATACCCATCGCTAGAGCTGAGAGCTCAGTGGTTGTCGTGGAAGAGGGGCGAGGGGGAGGGAGAAAGAGCCGGGGACACCGTGGATCGTTCCCTTGTGCCTCGCTCGCGGCTGAATACTTGAATATTGATTAAGCATGCACATCGCGATTACTGGAAGCAGGTAAACGCGCTTCCAGCCGGGCTGCGTGTCTGCGGACATTTATACGGGACGTTCGCCTGTCCCAGTCTCTCTTTCTCTCTCTTTCTCTCCCATTCTCTTTGTCTTACTCGGGGCAGACATAAAACTGTCGAATACTCTAGACCAGCTTCAAGACGTTTCCATGATAATGAAACAATTGTTCGTTTACGATAGGTCTTTGGAGGATCAGCTTTGGTCACATTGTTGTCACTGACAGGTTGAGTAGTAGTCAAAAAGAAAAACTGGAGGGTCTCATAGAATGTTCACTAGTATAAGCGAGACTATAGGGAAGAGAATGGATAACAGGAAATATTAGTTGTACATCAGGTTATGTTCAGATTGCAACTGGGACCTAAAATAAGTGTAGCTTTATGGCGATTAATCCTTTGCATTCGAGAATTGTTTTGCTAGATATATTCTTCATTTTCTAATTAAATATCAATGGTGTCTTATAAATGACATTGATATAAATAATATAGAGATTAAGGGATAGAACTATTCTATTTTAACGTTTCATGGATAATTACGTTAGATGAACTTTTATATTGTACAACAAACTTTGTAATTTTGCTCTGTCAAACCAAGTGGCGACTGTGAGTTGTTACTCGAGTGCAAAGGGTTAAATTGATATCTAAGTTTAGTTTGGGCCTAAGATTATATCACAGAGTGCATCGGAAATTTTGGAAAAAGGATTCGCTGATGTTATATTAGGTCAAAATGAGCCTAATTAAAGTTCTGAACTGTAAATTGAAACTTGGCATAGATTAGCCCTTGGTGAAGTGCGAGTTACCCTAAGTAAAAGGACATCCCATGTATGTATCCCATGTATAGGACATCCCTTACGTCGACCCTGATTTAATTCCAAACTAGTTTAAATTAGAACCAAATCGATCCAAACTAAGTTGTCATCTAACCTAATTTTATTTTGAAGTTACACTATGTCCTAATACTTCCTAAATTAGGTTCAAAGTAAAACACAGCCATTTTATGGGCTCTATCAGTCAGATTCAAGACTGAGTCTGTAGCAACATTACCTCCCCTGACTCAGGACCAGTCCAAGAAACTCGAAGAATCTGATAAATGCAAATGTCCCTAGGGTCCACTGGTGGGACACTGTCCCTGAAGCAGCCGGCAATTGCAAACAGAGCCATTACAGATCTCAGTGAATAGGTCAGGCTATTTGCGTCATCGATCTCTTGGAATGCGACGCCGGCAATCAAAGAAACACCGACGACACATCGGCGTGTATCAGGTAACTTGTCCCGCGTATTTTTTCTGTTTCCTTTTCGCCCGTCCCGCCGCGACGAGTAGAACAATGAGTTCGTCAACGGTAAGTAGGTTAAAAAGAGAAGCCCGCGGTGTCTTTGAAACGCCGAGCGAAAAAATGCCGAGTGTCAGCCGGTGATTGCCGATTGTCAAAAGAATGCGAGCGGGGGAACTGGATCGAGGAATCATTATCACGACCGATCCGTAGGCACTCGCGAGAAAACGCGAGACTGTCATTTACATTCCTAATTCGCTACGTGGGTGGTTACTCATGCCGCGAGACACTTGGATCTAGAAAAAGATCACCGGCTGAATGGTGAATCTCTAATTTCTTGAGTGGGTAGTCGACGAATCGTCATTCAAGGAGGACTATCGCAGCTGGACCTAACCTCTAATACGAATGCCACATGAGAAGTTAATTTGTCAAAACTATTTCAAAGATTAATTATTTTATCACCACTTGAAGATCCGATGACTAAGCATGATTGAAGTAAAAAGAAATGGGACAGGAATGTGTTTTAGTGTGAAGAACAGTGGACCAATTTGATTCCTTAAGTAGGTAGCTGATAAGTAGCTATTTATGAGGTTTATGGCAGCCAAATCTAACCTCTAATACGAATGCCACATGAGAAGTTAATTTGTCAAAACCATTTCAAAGATTAATTATTTTATCACCACTTGAAGATCCGATGACTAAGCATGATTGAAGTAAAAAGAAATGGGACAGGAATGTGTTTTAGTTTGAAGAACAGTGGACCAATTTAATTCATTGAGTAGGTAGCTGGTAAGTGGCCATTCCTGAGGTCTGTGGCATCCAAATCTAACTTCTAATACAACTGCCATATGAGAAATTAATTTATCAAAGCTATTTCAAAGATTAATTATTTTATCACCACTTGGAGATCCGATGACTAAGCATGATTGAAGTTAAAAGGAAAGGGAAAGGAATGTGTTTTAGTTTGAAGAACAGTGGACCAATTAAATTCCTTAAGTAGGAAGCTGATATGTGGCAGCCAAATCTAATCTCTAATGTCATGTGAAAAATTAGTTTCTAAAAATCCTTGGAACTATTTTACCACAATATGAACATGGAATGATCAAGCATCGCTGACGTAAGAAAAAAATGAAAAAAGGCTATGTTTTAATTTGAAGAGGGGTGGACTGTCCAATCAGTCAGCCTAGAAGACGTGTTAGTACGACAACGTCCCGACTTCCGTGGCTAACATGGCCCTCGCCCTCCACTCGACGACGGCGTCTAGGGCGAAAAACAGCAGAGGCGAAACAGAATGGGTGGAGAAAACGGCCCTCGAGATCTGAATATTCACCAGGCACATCCTGGTCGGCCTCCACCTGACCCTCTTTCTGCCGGAAAAATCGGCACGTTCCGGCTCGTCTTCGAGGCTGCTCGAAGTTCCTCTGACGAGACACCGACGGAACGGCTTTTTAATTAGAACGTCGGCAGATCGGAAGTTGGGGGAAGGCTACCCGCGTTCCGGGGGCAAGATCATCGATCCTTTTCGTCGGTAAAATGGAATGTTACATCAAATGTACCTACTAAGAGCAGGTAGCATTTAAATATGAATTAAAATATTTGACAGAGAAATAATTGGGATATTGAACATTGAAAAATGAAGAAGATTTAAGCATTATTATACAGTATTTTTAGATTTTACGGGACAATTGAGATGGATTAAAAACGATTTTGATGGTAGAAAATATGGTTTAGATAGTGATTCTCAGATATTTTATAAAGTTTGTCGTTGTTAATATTTAATTTGTATGGTAAATGGCCTAGGGAATTGTAGAGAGTGAGTTTATCTACCGAGATGGCAAGTGTCTAGTTCTATTTTCAGTTTTACCATGCGAGCAGCTCAGTTTTCTAGTGATTTTTTGCTTCCAATGGTGGTTGCTGGGCCGGTAACTTATTTACAGAAACGGGAATTCCCTTATAGCGTCCCTTTCTCGGTATTCTGTTTTATCAGTTGATTCCTAGAGATTTCTTCTTTATCAAGAGAAAATATCGCGACATAGATTTCGGATACAATGCAGATTTAAATGATGATGAGGTTTGTAGAACATATTGCAACAAAAACTCAATTCTCATCATTCGTAAGCGTAAACATCATCGCGTATGATGATTTAAATGTAAAATAAAATGCAATTTAAGTGTGGCTTCAGCGCAAAACGGAATTATAAAAAATTCATACAAAGACACATCTTCAACTATCCTCTCAAGTTACATAGACATTATTTCCAACAATATTTACATTACAATTAATAACAACAATGTTCACAACATATTAACTCTCCAAACAGACGCACAAAAAATCAATGAAATCCTTGTTATAACAAACCAGACTGTTTCTGATATCCAATATTTATACTAAATTTAGACATAAAACAACCATAAAATTCCTTTCCACAAATATTATTAAAACTTCCCCCATATGCTGTAGCCACACGAAAATATTCATTTAACACGTTCGCTACCAGCGTCACATATTTGTGACGGCCGTAATCCTATATTTTACATAATGAAAATGAAATCGATCCTATGGATATTGTTATTAGAAATTATAAACTACGATGTTATACTTAAGAACTCAATGACTCGTTTCGGTTTCATTTTTCTGATATTTTGTTTAAATTTATTGGATTAAAGAAAATATAATTGAGAAGACCATCAGCGAAATAAGTGCTGGTAGCGAACGTGTCAACCCCTTGCCTTATAACGTGTCAGACTCGTGATGAAGAGTTTAAACAGAATTTAACTAGTTAACTGTGGAATTTAGTTGGAAAAACCTCTCGTTCTGCGCGCGATAAAATCGAAAAATGGAGGGTGTACTCGTCGGACGCAGGACGAATGCACGTAGAGTATATTTTAATGAAAGATCAAAGCGAAACAAAGAAGAATTACATGTTTATGTGAAAAAATAACGAATTCATCGCTGAAAGAATTAGTATCATGTCAAGCTTTACGATGACGTGTATACTCGTCAAACACAGTTAACTGGTTAACAACCATGAATATTATTCAATTCTTGTGAATGTAAACAAAACATTATTCGTTCGTTATCAATTATTATACTTTAGAGGAAACATAGGCATAGAATGTACCTGGAATTTTATTTTCTTTTTAATCAATTATTAATGGCAACGTAGTTCTATTCATCACGGTTGAGAAATAAATTATAAGGCAAGGGGTTAAACACTCCGCACCCGAAACGACACACGGAACATAAAAATCTGACTCACCAGGGTAGTTGCAGTCGTGTTCGTCGCTCCCATCATTACAGTCCTCGACGTGGTTGCAACGTTGGGACTCCAAGATGCATCTGGATACGTCACAAGCGAATTCCCCAACGCTGCAGCCTATAAATCAAACAGTCCTTCACTTTTCTGGCAAAACATTCGACGCGTTAAACAGTTTATGAAACATCAAACACGAAGAATACACGATCAACGATGCTCATCGAGAAAGATGCTAAATGGTAACATCGATTATGACAAATGCAAAATGAACATGCAATTTATATACATATATACAATACGTCCACGATGTACGACAGGCACTAAGGAGAGACAGAACTTGTTGCTAGTGATCAGGGCGAGCTTATACCTGGGTGGTCGCAATCGATTTCATCGGAGCCATCGTTACAGTCCTGTATGCCATCGCAGAGCTGCACGGAACAAATGTAATGACTGCCGTCCTTGCAGCGCACCGTGTCGTCGGCGCGACACTTGTTCGGCACCGGTGTCAACGTTACGTCGTCGGGACCGTCATCGGTCCCTTCTATGTCCTTAGTGATCGTTACTTCTTCCGGTTCCTCGGTCTCCAAGTATGGAACTGTATCGGGCTTGGTGATTATACGTGTCGGAAAAGTGACGAAAATGATGGTTGTGCATGGATTTAACCCCTCGCCTGATGAATTGTTTATTTATTTCGTGAATTTCTTCGTATCTCGTTTTGGAAATTTAACTGCTTTTTATATTCTGAATTTTTTTTAATTCTGTTTTGGAAATTTGGTTGTCTTTGACTTTATATATTTCTTTGTATTTCGTTTTGTAAACTTCCTTTCCGTTTATTTTATAAAGCTACTTTCCCTTCGCTGCGAAAATTCTCCCTTTGTTTATTTCTGACATTTTCTTTCCTTCTATTTTACACATTTTTTAAAATTATATTTCATAAATTCCACGAGCTAATATTCAATGGGAAAAGCTGTTTTTCCTTGAAAAATTTGCTACTTTCTTATCTCTCAAGATCATTTATTTATTTATAATTAGTTGCATATTAAGCCGAGAGTAATTTATTTCTCGGAAATGTAAAATTTTATAAATTTGAAAGAAAATTTTGTGGCAAGGGGTTAATGTGACAGGTGAATGGTGAATGTAAAAAAAAGAGTATTTGAGTATGAATAAATGATGATGGAGTCACGTGTGATGTTCATGTGTGCTGGAGCTACATTTTAGAGTCATGGAACTTCCATTGATTAATAAGATACTTTGAATTAGATTGAATGAAAGAGTGAACCATTTCTGTGATTGAAAATCTATTTCTTACGATTGAATATAGTCGAATCTCAAGTGATAATATTAAATAATCATAAAAATACCAACGTCTAACTGCAGTATGATAGAACTATTGATTTCTTCTTTGATCCTCTACCTTCATTCATGACGAGACTAATATACTAATTGTAAGAGAATAATTACATAATTATCATTGCATCTTATTGATCCTTATACCCTTATACATTTAATTCTAAAAATTTATCTATGTATCATTAATGAATAAACGATAACGCACATTACACACTTGATTAAATGTAATTTTACACTTTCTTAATAAACATAAAATAATAATAATTTTTATTAAAATATACATTCACATTAAATTTACGAGTTACTCATATTGAATTTCATAAACAGTACTCACCCGAACGTGTATGGTAATTGTCTATTGTTAAACTAATTACCAAGATCTAAGTGAAATACCAATTTATTTAAGAACAACAGAAAAAACTGTACAGTACAACGATAATTATGATAATAATTATGATCAATGGTCTTCCATGTATCAAATGAAACAGCCCCATGTATTTACAAAACGGTTGTCTTATGTTGTTGCGTTATGTATTATTAATCACATTGATTATTATACTCACAGTGATAAAAATCAAGTGTACATGTCACGGTATAAGACACAGTGGGAAGATGTGTACATTTTCCGACAAATGTATAGATCTGCTTACAACTGAAGTAAAAGTAGATTGCAAACAATGAAATACAAACTGTATCCATAAACACACCAGAAAATGTACACCATAATTTCACTATTTCGGAAAATGTGAAACTAATAGGGGATAATGAATATATATTTAGAACCTACCCGGGCAGCACGCCATCTCGTCAGAGTCGCACTTTAACGCACTGTACATTTGCTTAACCCTTTGTCTTACAATAACGTGTGAGACTCGTGGTGAAGGTTTCAAACAGGACATAACAATTATAAATATTAGTCAATTATTGTGAACACAAATAAAATATTATCCTTTTGTTATCAATTATTATAATTTAAGGCAAATATAAGCATAGAATATACCTAAAATTTGTCTCTCTTTTCAATAAATTATTAATGGCAAAGTAGTTGTGTCAATCATAGTTGAAAAATAAATCGTAGGGCAAGGGGTTAAAGGAGCTGATAACAGTGTACCGTTAGTTGCTGAAAACCTGGCACTCATGACGTCATAGGGGCGGAGACAGTCGCGCCGAGGGATCCAATCGCGAATCCAGACTCGACTCTCCGCGCCCTCTGTCGCGCGACTCGATCGACGGACGCGAGCGGCTCAGCCAATCAGGCGTGCGCCTTCGAATCTGACCACTCAGACGAGAGTGCCAGGTTCGCTGCAACGGACGGTACGTTTGCCGGAAAATTGATACAGTACTCCGAATATGCAGTTATACCGTAACATATATACAGTCAAGGGGAAAATGGCGGATGGCACTTACCAGACGTGATCGTGGGACAATCGAGCTCGTCGGACTTGTCGTCGCACTGAGCAACCCCGTCGCACCTGGCATCTAATGGCACGCATGCACCGTTTCTACATCTGAGCTCGGTGGATTTGTCGCATTCCTCTTCGACGTCGTCTGTACCAACTGTGTGTGTGTGTTTTGGCGAGTAGCGTCGTGTCAGGGAGAAACATAAACGGAAAAACGAAAAACCGAGAAATTTAACGAAAAAGAATAATTGTGAACTCATGAGAACCGGGGCGGGGGGAATAATGGAAACAAGTTTTACCGTTGAAAAATAGTAATTAGAATTTGGTCGAATGTCGATTTTAGGAATTCTTTCGATGTTTCCTTTGGAATGTGAAAGTAACTGCCAGAATGGCGGCAGAGGATACATTGAGCGATATCAGAGTTAAAGTAGTTAATAATATAATGATTGAATGGTTCAGAATGATCTATATAGTGAAATATGTATAATACAATAATAAGATATCAGGAAATGATAATAAAATAATATAAGATATAATGAAGTGATACTAAAATAATATAATAATATAAGATATAATAAAATAACCTATTTCATATTTCTTCTTCTACGATCATTGAAAAAGTACAAGTAACTTTGACAGTTATTTAATTAATCGATTTTCCCACGCTTACATTAAAATATAAGTGAGTATAAATTTTTTAAATATACCAATTAAGTGTGACTAATTTGAATAAAGGAAATATACAGTAAACTGTTTAATAATTCTAGAGTTAAGACTGAAAGGAACATGGTGGTAGTATTTTCTGTCTGCTCTACATGTTCAAAATATAAATTGCGTCTACTTAATGTATGATAACCATTCCACGTGCAATATCGAATTACATTAACTACATAACTGGACTGCGGATTCTTTTGTAAATTTAAATTTCTAAAAATATAATTAGAAGAATAGAATCACGATAAAAACTAGTTCCTTCTAATAAATATTATAAAAACCATTATACACTATATAATAATACATTAATATATGATAATATATAAAATATAAACTGTAATAATATAATAATATAATATTACAAGTATAAAATATGAATTATAACATTATAATATATACTATTAGAAATACAAATGATAAATTATAATATAAGTTAAAATATTATATTCCATATGAACTATAATATTAATCCATACTTTTATAGGATATTATTTATACCTTATTATATAAGATATTAATTATCATATTTCTTTTATATAATTTTTTACATATTTTACATATTGTCCTAAACTAACAAAAAGAAAAATAAACAATAAATCTATTCTGAATTTCCAAATTTCCCATACAATATAAAATATATTTCTTTTATGTAACTTTTTATATATGTTACATATTGTCTCAAGATAATAGAAACTAATAGAAACAATAAATCAATTCTGGATTTCCAAATTTCCCATATCATATAAAATATCATATTTTTTTATATAACTTTTTATATATTTTACGTATTGTCCCAAGCTAACACAAACAAAAATAAACAGTAAATCAATTTTCGACTTCCAAATTTCCTATGAATGCATCAAAATCCGCAGTCACGAATGACCGTTCTCTCTTCGAAGATACACGTCAGGACAACTTCAGGGATCCACCAAGAAGATCCATCCGTCTTCCAGCCTTTTAGAGGATACGTGTCAAAGTAACGTCAAGAAGTTCGTGAACCTTCGACAGGGAGTCGATCATCTTTGCCAGTCTAAAATTTTCGAGAACAAATTACCTTGGAATATTCGGAAGGTGAACCCTTCGGGGTACAGTTGGATGTTGCCCAAGGAATGCCGCTGCAGCTGTTCCTCGATGATGTTCCTAACTTCTATCTCGTCGGAGAACATCAAGCCGATGTCCATGGTTACTTGCAGCTTGAAGATGTCTGATGCGATTGGTCTATATAAACAGAGAACAATGTCATTGCCTTTTCTTTGTGCTTTTTTGATGGTTGACAAGTAGGGTGGACCGAAAGAGCTGAAACTCTTCTACGATTTTCTATTACAAATTCTAAAAAAATTGTTCGCATCATATAGAAACTCATATGGAGATTTTTATTTGCAACCAATACAGGTTTCAATCTTTGCACGCCTTTAATTTTTACTGGGTTATTGAAACTATTTATTGAAACATATGTAGGTAATACAATGCAAAAAATATTTAGCAATACGCAAACTGATTATGGAACATTTATTATGTTTAAACACGTTCAAATACTTTTGTTGCTAACTGTATATCGTATGTTATATAAATAAATAATTAAATTGAAGAATTTAAATGAAAGATAATTAAATACTATATTAGTTAGTTATATAATTTACTTATTTATTCATTTTGTACTAAAGTTTAAATTACTCATAAGATTTTGGTTATTGATATTATTATTTTTGACTCTGTTAGATTGAAATTCTTCTAATATCTTCTCTAGAAATTATTCCTTACCACTCGATATGTGTAGTTAATTTTTTATATGCAATTATTATTGTTACTTATAATTTGTCTATTATTTCTTTTGCTGTCAATTACTTTAAGTAGAATTCTTCGTTTTTTGGAATAATTCAAAAGAGTGCTTAACAATGTTCTGTGAATCACGAATCACAGTGTCAGTGTCTAACACATATAAAATCAGTACAGTCGAAGTTTTATAATAATAAACAATAAAGTACAAACATTATAGCCTGTACAAATAAACGAGAAAACTACTGGAACATAAATCCGAACACTTTATTTTTCCTGTAACTAACATATCTACTGCAAACTCCAAGTTGGGCCCAATTAAAAACGGAAAAATGATAGTTTAGAAAAACATACCCTCCGCTGAATGTAAAAATAATATAATTTATATTATCCCGGATACCGTAATACAGTTAGCTTCAAGAAATATTAATCCATAAAAATGAAACGTAAAAATCTGTGCAGGAAGCAATAAAATACAACCGACTTGGTATCTAGTCTTCACCGGGTAACAGGTTAACACATTGCAAACCAGACATTTGTTTGCCAGTCATGCTTAGTAACCATCCACTTCTTTTGTATTAAATATTTTTATAATTGTTTAATATTAAATATTTTTCAATTTTTTAATGTCGAGTATTTCTCAATTATTTAAAATTAAATATCCTTTAGTTATTTAATATTAAGTATCTTTCATTTATGTAATATTGAATATTTTACAATTACTGAATATTAAATATTTTTCAATTATTCAGTATTATATATTTTCTAATTATTTAATATTAAATATTCAAGTTACTTCTATATTTAAAGTTAAAAACCATTGTCGTGTTGAACACATAACTCCAACATACATTTTAAAATCACATATCCTTTCAATATACAAAGTTACGTTAATAACTAACAATAGTTTTCACAAAGAAATTTGTAAACGTCAGTTTAACCTCTTGAGTGGAAACGAGTCTCGCCTGCACGTGCTCCCCACATGAAAATTGATTTTCTCCATTATTTTACAAATCTGCCATATAGTAACAAAAATCATTCTCTTATTTTCATAAGTAAATTTAACTCTTTGTACTTAGAAGTTTTTCAATAGAAATATTTAACATTTCTCGACGGGACAAAGACGATATTCTTTAAAACCAACTCGAGAAAAAACCACAAGTACATTCAGGAACAAAGCTATTTTATTCCAATATTTCACGTATCGAGACAGCGTACAAAGTTCAACCTTGAATATCAGATTTTATAGTTCTACTGCGTCAAATCGAGTGCAAGGGGTTCATTGAACTCGCAATACTACAATTTCCTTTACAGTAACTGTATCCATAAAATTTTACGAAACTAAGTACCATAAACAGGAATATCTTTGTTGAAATAAGTCGTAGGGCAAAGGGTTAACACTAAACGTACCGGGAACCGGTCAAATGACAGTATTTAAAATTTTACGTTTTCTTTAGTTCATTAAACTTTATATCAATACTATACTGTTCAATTAATTGGTTCTTTAGTGTTCATCCTTCCTTTTGTTTCTATTTCGACTAAGAAAAATTATTATATTTATACATAATAATATATAACAAAATACTAAATAATTTTATATATATATATATATAGTATAATAAACAAAATAGATGATCATCTCTATTTCGTAGCCAGTTATTTGGCTAGTTACGGTAGGAAAAGTGTCGGTACGGTTAGTGTTAAGTGATCGGTAGTTCTAGTGTTAATTAGTTAACCACTATCGACTGGTACTTCGGCATCGAATACTCACGATATCTTGACGACGCTGGCATGGTGGTTGTGGTCGGGGCTGAGTTGGTTGTACAGCTCCTCTAGGGCCTGGGTTAAATTGGCGCTCAACTTCTTGTACTGCGGACTATTTCTGTCCGCGTACTCGCTCAAGTACGGTTCACCGATTGTCAAGGTTATCCGGTAATATCCTGAAATCACCGATCAACGGAAACCTCAAGTTTTCTCGCGAGTTGGTTGCTCATTGGTTATCTAATGTATACATGGTAGGTTTATCTGAGTGAGTAATTCGATATGTTTCCTTCATTACTAAAGAATATTCATCACCTGAGTAATCTAAAGGTATATTGCATTTTTAGATAAGCATCTTATGTATCTACATATCAGTTGTGTAATTTAAGTTCTCACTTTCATTAACCAATTTGCATTGTAATGAAAAAAATGACCTTATCCGAAATTTTTCTTTTGATTTCATCGTAAGCAGGAAAATTACAATTAAAAGGAAATTCTGTTAATCAGAATTACTACTTTCATTTCTAATAACACCCTCCATTTTTATTTATATATACATATATATGTATATATTCACATACATATTTATATATAATTATATTTATTTAATACATATATCCTAAGGAGAAAAGAATATATTTAAAAATGTCTACTCACTTCGTTGTTTTCCAGTGACAGCTCCTTTTTCGTCCTCGGCACTACCTTCGAAGCCCCCGGACCCAGTCAAATCTTCGTCGTCTGTGTTAGCAAATCTCGCTGGTTCCCTGCGAGTTTCAGCTGCATTTCCAATTTGATTGTTCTGTCATGAATAATAATTAGAATTATTAACCAGGATTGGAACGAATTATCGTGATAATCTAATAAATGTATCTGTCACTGTACAACCTCGTCAGTTTCTTCTTCGTCATCCTCGGCGTCATCGACCACTCTGGCAAGTTCGTCCATCGTCGATTTCTGGGACGATTTGTGATCGAATTCCTCCTTCGCCTCCTCCTCATCTTCTTCTGGAATAAATTCTTTGAAAATCATATTTCATTTTCCATAAATTAAAAAGTTTAAATTGAAAAATATACTTATAAGAATTATTGGCAAAGTTAATTAGGATTACAGTATTACATTAGTATTACATTAATCTTCAATTAACAATCTTCAATGAGATAATTTTATAGCAAAACTTTTAGAGTAAAACAAATTTTTTTGAACCAGAATATTTGAGAAAGGTCGATTATCTCAAATTGAAGTATCAATCGTATAAATCTTTAGAATAAACGATTTCTTTAATACCAAAAAATCTTGATTTTCAATTTGTATGTACAAATTCGAAAGTAAAAATTACCAATAGATATTTATCAGTGATTAAGATTCTGTTGGCTATTATCGAAGGGAAACTCATTTAAGATCAAACGATTGTATTAATATGTAATTTACATGAAAAAATTTGATATTAATAGTGATATTAACTTAATAGACCGATGTCATACTGACTCAACTGAATTGCAATTACTAATTTTGCATTTTGTAAATTCGCAAAGTCTCCAGAATCCTTCAAATATACAATAATCCACCATCTAATAAGATAATTTAATTTAATAATTTAATAATTTACCTGGCGGTGGCTCAGTTGTGGTATTTGTCGACAAAGGATTAAAGATGGAGAAGAGATTCCTCTTTATCCTGTGGAGAAAGGACTCCTGCTGTCGGGACTCGATCAACGGTGTTTCGATGTAGGATTGCTTGCCATCTTGGTCAAAGACCAAATCGTCATTCTGAAAACAAAAATCAATATCGCCGTTAATGAAGACCGTAACACCCGCAAATGCCGAAGTGAAATCACTCCGGTACCATTCTAAGTTATTAATACGGCGGCGGCTTAAATAGCCGTCCACTTAGATCGCAATCAGAAATCAATAACATTATCCCTCCCAAAAATAATCCCTTTCTCAGCGCTAGTCTATTCTCATCCACTTAACCGACAGTAATAATTGTTTTCGGGAACCGCATCAGCCAAATCGTCTCGTCCGAACGATAAATCGAATCTCAATCGACGAAAAAAATGTCCAGTGAAAGATTTATGGTATTTTCTTGCAATAGATATTAACGAGCATCTACATTTACCAAAACAATACGGATATCACGAAATTTCACCGCGATATATCGAAAAAACCGCCCGATCGTATTGGTACGTCCCTCGAAATCGCTTTAATCCTCTAGGCTCCTATATCGAGCGTGACTCGACGTCAGTTCTATTCACAGGTGTGATTTATTGTCAAGATATTTTTAAAACAGATTATATTATTATATTACTTTCAATATTAGTAAGAAGAATCTACACACTAACTATTTCTTCAAACGAATTTCAAATAAAATATCGTAATAATACAGAGTTAAATCGTCGAATCACCTCGAATAACTTGAGAACTCGAAGTTTCTTTCTTTCCCTTGGATAAATGCTTCATTATCTCTTGAAGAAATGTTATAAAACATGATTGTACAAATGATTTACACATACGTTTATTTTAACGCGATGGAAAGGAAGGCAATCAATTTTTTAACTGCTCAACCCCGGTTCAAGTCTCTCGATCACGTGGCGGGCGCGAGTCTTGGGCGAACTTCTCTTCTAAACAAGAAGCTTTCTCAAGTAGATAAAATACTCCTAAGATCCTCCTGTCGATCCATCATCGAACTAGGACACTGCGAACGAGGCGAGCGTGAACCGCGAACAGGAAATATCGAGTTTGTTATTCGCGACGCGGGAAAGCCATCGATGCCCCCCCTTGCATAACACCTGACTCGGTAACGATACTTTATTTCGTCGAGTTACTGTATACCCAGTGTTCCTCCTTTTCCTCATCTACTACCCCCACCCCCTGGACACCCCCTGTTCACGGATAGTAGTGTATTCTGATCCTGGAAGCGGAGACGTCGTTGACCAGTGGGAACGTTGAATCCTGACCAGTTTAGGAATCATGGGAATGGGTCACCGATCCTGAATTTATATCGCGTGTTTAGGTGGGAATTGGTTCTTTATGAGCGCCACGTGACCGACGCTCGCAGACACACCCCGCGTAGAGACAATCGATACTTTATCACCGTTCGCGGTGTTTCGATTCTCGATGGTCTTTCGGGTTTCGTCCTGGAATAGTGAAATTTCTGAGAAATTTGGATTTCTGGTTTGCCTACTGAGGATCGGTGAGTTTTCGGTTTCTTATTTTGGGGTTTGAGTCAACTTTGACCTAAGCGTTGATTGAGTTGATTAGATTGAATGATGATTTATACATGGAAGTTTGGGGAATAATTGTAGTAATAATTATAGAAATAATTGTTCGTTTGAGAAGAGTCGATAATCGTTTAATTGTTTGGAACAATAGTTTTATAACGATCGCAGATGTATTTATTCTGTTATGATTTTTATAAAAATAATATTGTTGCAATTTTTACATTTTTGTAAATGAAGTACTTCATCTTGTGTAAGTTGAATTCTATAAATCCAGTTTAAATGCCACGTGTTTCACACATCGACAGTGAAAATTGTGAAGATGAGAAGAGATATGATTCGACCAATGAAGATTAATTTATACAGTGGAATTTTATAAAAATAGTGATTATTGTTACAATTCTCACACTTTTGTAAATAAAGTACATCATCTTCTGTAAGTTGAATTCTATAAATTCAATTCAGTTTAAATGCCATGTGTTCGGCAGATCGACAGTGAAAATTGTGAAAATGAGAAAAGATATAATTTGGTCAATGAAGATTAATTTATACAGTGAAGGATTCGGGATGTCCGACGGATCATTTTAATTTAAACTAACGGAAGCGTTCGGCGTCATGTTTCGCTGAAAAAAATAGAATTGCTTCCGCGAGTGTCCGCTTGGTGGCAACAGGGGGCCGGAAGCACGCGGCGACTTTTCCGGTCGTGCTGATAAAGCTTAAACCAACCCAGACGCGACGTATTGTTACGTTTTCGACAAGTAATGTGTACGCAATGGTTGCGTAACGGCGAATGTAACCCTACTGAGCGAAAGACGCGAAGTGGAATGAGCCGTTCACGATCAGACACGTGAACAGTGATTTATATTTGACTCGTAAATTTTTGACAGCTCAATCAATAGCGGTGTAACTGTTAGAAAGTAATATATGGTCGCCAGTAATAACGCATGAGCAACGAAATCGTTAAATCTACAAAAAAGAAATACGAGAAACATGCGGAGAACTGCCCGGTCGTATGGGCTCGAATAACGAATTCGCTGCAAATATCACTTCCCAGTAACTAAAGCAAAGAAAACTATTTACAATGCCTTACCAGTACCACGGAGAACACTCTCAAGCAAACATACAACAAATAACTACAAAATCCTGATAACAGGAATAATAAAACTATTCGGTCGTATTGGTTCGAATAACGAATTCGCTGCAAATATCACTTTCCAGTAACTAAAGCAAAGAAAACTACTTACAATGCCTTACCAGTACCACGCAGAACACTCTTAAGCAAACATACAACAAATAACTACAAAATCCTGATAACAGGAATAATAAAACTATCCGGTCGTATTGGTTCGAATAACGAATTCGCTGCAAATATCACTTTCCAGTAACTAAAGCGAAGAAAACTACTTACAATGCCTTACCGGTACACCATGGACAACACTCACAAGCAAACATACAACAAACAACTACGAAATCCTGATAACAGGAACAATAAATCTGTCCGATCGTATTGCTACGGAACCAACACGAGCCGCCAAGGCAAACGCACCAGCGTCTAACGGGCCAACGATATCAACTCATCAAACGGTCTACTTTCACAAGTGGAGACCCTAAACAGCATTTAGCCCGAAAAAAGCGACGCGGGACCGATGAAAAATGCAAAGACGGTCATCGTCGGCTTACATCCCGAGCATAAATCGCGACGATAATGCTGACGGCGGGTAAAAAGACGTCGAGAGATCGAGGGGCGGTGGAGAGAACGGGGCTGCCGAGACAAAACTTTGCTATTCCGGGCAAGTTTTACACGGGATTTCCCAGCTAAGTCCAGTCTATGATCCTTTCACGGCAACTACGTGCTCATACTTCGACAAAACACCGGCCGCCGCGGTCCGAAATCCTTAAAATGCATGGGGAGGACGTGTCGGGGCAGGTTAAGTGGGCCGAGAGGAAATTCGTCCTCGGAAGTTTCTTCGGGAGCCGATCGTGAAACTCCGGCGGGGAGGGCCGAACACCTTTTTCATTCATTTTCGATTACATCGTTCGAGGACACAGGTTTTCCCCGCGCGCGCGGATCAACGCGACGCGAGCCGCGGAGACGCCTTTGCCTGAGACATTATGCAACCAACACGTGCGTGCACGGTTTAACGATGCAGCGACGATGACACAGACACACGGGGCCAATTTTTCAGGACCAGTTCCGACGCTGAGTCATCGGTCTGCGCTCATTTTTGCGCGCAGTTCGTTCACCCTTGCTCTGGCAGACCTCCTCCTTTCCACGCGGCCGTCCGTGCAACGTACCTTCATGACTGCTCGAGGGAATTTCGAAAATGAGGGAGTACTCTTAATATCCAGGTCTTTCTTTTATTGTTCCTCTTTGTAATTCTATGCAGTTTCGTAAACCGCCTCTTTGAACGTTGTTCTGAACTTTGGACTTCTCGGGGTTAACTCGGAAGAAGTACCGGGTCAGGGGTCGATTTCTTCTTAAGTCCAAGTTTGGATCCCTCTAAACGAGGAATTTTGAGAGTATGGTACCGTTAGTGTCTGGCGGCGTTTTTAATTCTTTCTTTTTAAAAGGTGTATGCTGTTTCGCGATGTTTTAGTTCAGGCTTGCTGCTTTTTTAGGTTATGTTAGATGGAATAGTAGGTATAGGTTATGTTTTTGTTTGTTTCTAGATTCAGGTTCCTCTAGATCAAGTTTCTCGTAAGGTAGATCTAGGTTAGTTTTCTATGAACACATCGCTTTTGTTTTATTTTCACCACTTCTTGCTATTGTAGGTTAGATCACCTCAGATATGGTTTATTATAGATTAGATAATACTGGAGTCAGTTTGAACTAGATTAGATCAGTTCAGGTTTAGACTGCTTTAGGTTAGATTACTTCAGATTCGATTTACCCTAGACTTCCTCTATTTTAGGTTAAACATATCTAAGAATGATCTGCTTTAAGGTAGACTTCTCAAAGTTCTTTTTATTTCAGATCAAGCTTCTTTATATTAAGTTCATTAGATATAGGAATTCGAAGTTAGAACGCTATACACTTGTTTTATTGTAGCTTAGCTTCGATGTGTTCTAGATGAGGATCACCAGAGCACATCTCCCTGTAAACACTTCAAATTCGTTTTACACGTAACAGATAACTTTCTGTTCAGCTTGAAATAAACTACGCTTAAGCTAGATCTAGTTTAACTCGGATCAACGTCCTCTGCGATAGGCTCCCCTAAACGAAGTCACTCCAGATTTCATCCTCATATCAATCTTCTTTGTACACAATTTTTCCAAATTGTTTCCTACTACGTTAACCCCTTGTCGTACAACAGCGAGTGAGACTCGTGGTGAAGATTGTCAACATGATTCAACAAATATATATATCATTCAGTTCATTCTAATTCAAAGTAAGTATTATTCCTCTCTAATCAACTGTTATACTTGAAAGGAAATATAAGCAGAACATATGCTTAGAATTTGTCTGCTTTTCCAATAAATTATTAACGACAAAATAGCCGTATCGATCAGAGTTGACAAGAAATCATAGGCCAAGTGGTTGAATCCAGAT